CGGTTTTAAGAAAGTCGAAAACTTGTTTACAGGATTTCAAAGACGCGATTGCTGTATATCCTGATCTCAGCAATGTGAGGTTAGTAGTAGGATCATTACATCAAACTTTTCTCAACAAGAATTTTGCATAAACTCTCTATTTCTCGAACTGATTTGCGAGCTTATGGTTTCTCATTGTCGTTCATAGATTGAAAGACCTCGAAAGCCTGCTTCAGACCATCGTCACCGCAGCTTAAAAGTCATTTGCCTGCATTCTATCTGTTCTTCTGCAACTGTACATTTGATTTGTTCACTAAAATTTTCATTAATCAAAAAAGAAGATTCAAATGTATAAAATAGCAGTACAACACAAACAAAGACCTACCCTGAATCCTGATAAATCCATAAAAACAAAATTTAAAGAGGAAAAAAACCAAAGAAAGAGTTCTTCAATTTTCCTCTCATCTAATTAAGTCTTTCTTCTTCAATAGAAAGATCACATAAACAGAGGATGATGAATCTATAATAACATCACATTTCACTCTTCTTGTGTTGTTTTTTTTATCTTCTGCTATTAGCTACCTTGTTCTTGCTCATATCAGCAAGCTCCTCAACAAGTTTCTTCTCTTCTTTACTCAATCTCTTAGGAATCTCAACTTGCACTCTCACTAACTGATCACCTCTCATCTTACTCTTATTCAAAACCGGAACTCCTTTTTTCGCCATTACCAGCGTCGTGCTCGGTTGTGTCCCTGCTGGTACTTTCAAATCCACTACTCCATCCACCGTTGGAACCTTCAAAGTAGTACCCAATATCGCATCTACATACGATATCTTGCAGGTATAAAGTATATTTGTATCATCACGCTTCAATACCGGATCTGGAATCACCTCAATAACCGCAAAGAGATCTCCCGATGATCCGCCTCTCTTTCCTGCATTCCCTTCTCCCCTTACTCTTAACCTACTACCGGAATCCACACCCGCAGGAACTTTAAGACTAATCCGTTTCGTCCTTCTCACACGTCCGTCTCCCGAGCAAGCGCCACACGGTTTTGAAATTTCTCCTGTTCCGTTACACTGGGAACAAGTCATGACTTGCTGGAATACACCAAGTGGTGTCCTCGTTGATGCTACCACTTGTCCTTGCCCGCCACATGTTTTGCATTTGGTCGGTTTGGTCCCGGCTTTGGCGCCTGAACCGTTGCAAGTCCCACAGCTCTCTAACCGGGATATCTCTATCTCTTTCTCGACTCCAAAAACAGCTTCTTTAAAATCCAAGATTAGCGAGTAATACTCGTCTTCACCGTCAATAGCTCTGCTCCTTGAGCCTCTACTACCCATTCCACCACCCATTCCTCCCATCCCACCCATTCCTTCGAATAGTGACTCAAACAGATCAAACGGATTACTGTAATCCTACAAAATTATATTTCAAAAAAAAATACAAATCAGTATTCTAGATCAAATTCTTGTCATCAGAATGTTGGTTCAAATGTCTTCGAGAAGAAA